TTCGACGTTGGATTTGACTTTGACGGCACCGCCGAAGAATATTTGGATCGGATCTTACCAACCCTAGTGGATTCCATCGACGATCATTTCTCCGTCTACACGTGGATCATTGAAAGCCATCCACCCGCTCCTCCGAACCTGGCTCCCTCCTCGGCAACAAGTTCCCTCAAGATCACTTGCCTATTAGTGGCGTCGCTAAGTCTACTTACAATTCTCTTCCGCTAGCCACCACTTGCCAAACGAGTGACGGACATCAAGGTGAAGGATCTAGATTTTAAATTTGGGGCTTTTGTTTATTTCTAGCTATTTGCATTATTTAAATTTTGGTGCTATTTTGTGAGGCTCCTCAATTCTCTACATGTAATGTATTGTCATTGTTTAATCTTTCATGTCCTATTCTTAAACCTAACTTGAATAAGCAAGAAGTTTTAATTAGTAACGTGAAATCAATAATTTTATTAAATTCTCAAGTGCAACTCTTACTTCATCGCATGTTGTTTCACATCATCTAGCTACTGCAGGTAGAATAAAACACTGGAAAGCAAGGAAAGCTAAGTACTAAAAAATTAATAGAGTAATAGTGTTAGAAAACAAGTAGATTAAAGGAAAAAAACTACGAGCATAGAATAACTAAAACACCGACGCCAGTGTCAAAACCCGGAAGTGTCAAAATCAAAAAACTCAAACCAATTCAAACAAGTACGGAATAAATTTTCAAATATTGTACAAGTAACTATTGTCTATCCAAACAATCAAATTCAAAACTTATGTGCAGCCTCGTTTATAGGAACTTGATTGTAAGATCCACTATACAGCGACTTTCAAAGGAAAGTTGTAAGTCCGACCTTAGGGGAAAGTTTTAAGTAGAAATTGGTCTAATCCCTAACTTCTAACTAAAACACTAGCCACTTCTAATAGAAGTCATAAGTCCGACCTATGAGGGAAATGTTTAGGTGATAATACAACCCTAGACCCCTCACTTGGGCATCCTAGCCTATAGGGTTAGGTTGTAAGACCCACTAACGAGTCACTTCTAAGTGAAGTCGTAAGTCTAATGTGTTAGGGATACTTTTAAAATAATTATAATAATCCTAACACTACAAATAACCAAACAACTTCTAAGTAAGCCATTGAATCTTTGAATCAATCTTCCAATCAAAATTTATGGGTATCTTAGTCTAAAAAGATTAAGTTGTAAGACCCATTTTTTTAAGGTTATTTCCTAAGGGAAGCCATAAGTTCTACCCAAATAATTAAAACCTTCGGGAAACCTTGTTGTAGAGTTAGGTTGTAAGACCCATCCTTGGGCAACTCATAAATAAAGTAGTAAGCCCCATTCCAAATCTAAATCCTCGGGCTACTTTCTATGAAAGTCATAAGTCCAACCTAAATCTAAATACCTGAGCTACTTCCTAAATAAGCTATAAGCCCCGCTCCAATTCAAACTCCTGGGGTACTTCTAAAGGAAGTCATGAATTTCTAACTAAATAAATTTCTGGGTATTCTAATAGATGTACCCCAATCCATAAACAAAAAATTAAAACTAAAACCCACTTCTAATCACTTCGGTCTATTTGGGATCCCTGAGAGGAGGTAACCCATGACTGCCCCTAGACACTATGGTCAATGATTGTTAGTTTTGGTATATTGAAACTACGGTATACCCGGGACGACGAAATCATTAGATTTTGACCGGGTTTACCTCCATTTTCCCTACTATTGAGACTAAAAATATCTAAAAAATTACTCATTATTAATCGAGAGTTCTCTCTTACGTGTTAAGAGGGGTAATTAACTATGAGGGCTTGCGCTCATAGGAAGTCAGAACCCCAGATCTTTAAACTCTGACACTACTCTCAGAGAAAATCTTGTTAATTACAATCTGACTTAAAGGAAATGAAATCCTACAGCTACAAAGCGGGATTCATGCATTCATGCCATTTTTCTTGAGCCAACAATGGTGGATTTTATTATTCTGCATCTAGTGTTATTACAAATTTTTATTCTTATTTTAAATTGTTCTGTTAATCTTTTGTGTAACTGACTACCAAAGCATAACTGCAACTAAGAACTCCTAGATCCTTATGTTGGTGAAGCATTGAGCTTATAATTATCAAAGCTTTATAACTTATTATTAATTCCCACGCAATTCATGTTTCCATATGTGTTTCATATCAGTAAATCTTTGTTAACCCTTGGATTATGACTTGGGGGCTACTAATCATATGACTCTCATCACGAAAATTTGACAGATGTGCACCATGTATAAGAAATAGAAAAAAAAATTGCCATAATGTCTCTTTAACTACTATAGTTAGTATAGAGAATAGAGATGTTCTAATTAGTCCCTAATTTATGCTAAAAGATGTTCAATATGTTCCAAAGTTATCGACTGGCTTTGTCTCGATACAAAAACTGACTCAAGATTTGTATTGTAATGTTATCTTTTGTCCTACTCATTTTATTTTAGGATCAAGATTTCGGAAAGATGGTTTGACTTGCTTAGGAACAGAATAAAATTTATTATCTCAAAACACAAAGTATTATGTGTAATACAGAGAGTAAATTACCTTTGTCATATTTTTTCTAGCATTCTTTATTTAAAATATGATTTTCTCATCAAAGACTAGGACATCTATCATTTAGGACTCTTTAGATTAGGTCTCCTTCTCTATGTAAGGGACTTGATATTGAAATTTATGAGAATTTAATGCAAAATGTGCATATTTTTCATCATTAATAAAAGTAGTTCAATTCCATTTTCTCAAATCTATAGTGATATTTGAAAGGTAGGGGTAGACCTAAAAAGACTTGGTTAGAAAATATTAGGAATGACCTTTCTTTATTAGATTTAACCACATCATGGGAGGAATTTAAGGATGTTGCTTTGAACCCTTTATAAAGTGTGAAGTACACTCTTTTTGTTAAATAAATTATGTGAGCTATTTAAGATAACTTGCATATAACATGGTGAAATTAATCATCATATTTAATAAAATTATTTTAAACAGTTAAAAGATTTTAAATTAACTAAAATATATTGTTTAAAATTTAATTAAAACAAAAATATTTTTTTTTAATAAACCGGCCAATTCTTTCCAACCCGGACCGGTTCAGCGGTTCACCGGTTGAACCGCCGGTTCAGTCCAGTTTGATCTGGTCCGATGCAGAGCCGGTTTTGTAAGCTGGATTGGACCGGCCACCAGATCGGTTCACGGTTGAACCGGCTAGTCCGGTACGGTTTTCAAAACAAAATACTTGAGTTCGCAAGTAACGTTAAGGGAAATATTTGAGTTCCCAAGCAAACCTAACAGTAATTGGTGAAAAAAAGCAAGAAAACTGCTGATTTCAGAGAGAAATCAACACTGAAATGTAGAATTTTCAGGTAATTGGAGAGAAAAACACAAGCAAACTTCTTCTATTCAATCCACAAACAAGAAAAAGCAATAAACGATACAAGTTTCTTCAATTCAAGAGGAAGAAACAACTCTCCAAATCTCTAGCCAAGCATAGAGGCCAAAGGAACAAATCCTAGATCTCAAATTTTATCTCAAACTCAAGATGAAACCCTAATTCTAGCATTAACAACTAATTAAAGCCAAAGGAGAAATACAAAATCCCTAAGCAGCCCCTCATTCAAATATTTTCCTCCAAAGCAATTATTAATCAAAGTGTGGGCCCCATAGGAGCAGCCGGCCCCTTCTCTCTCCCTTCCTTGGGCCGGCGGCTCTAGTATAAAACCGATCCACTATGGACCGGTTCAATAGGGACAGCCAGCCCCTCTTAGGCCGGCCGAACATAGTCCTCCATCAACAAATAATTGATGGGTTGGTATCTGCACATTTGTGATTGATGGGGATAACCATATGGGAAGTAGGGAGACAAGACTACGGGAAGATGGATGGGGATTGTGTGTTGACTAGATATATGCATACACATGCGAGTGCACTCACATGCCTAAACACAGGTATACAAATATAAATGTATTTGAATATTTCTATTTATTGGTGTTTTCTAGCATTGTAGAGCTTACGATGAGATGCTTCCACTTGCCTTACCTATGGAATGAGCTCAAAAGGGATTAACCTATAAATCTCAATAAACTTTTTCAGACTGTAACCTTCTTTATGAAAGTTCTTTTTGACATACTTCAGAAGAATCTTTTTCATCAGTGACATTGAATCTTTTTCATCGGTGACATTGAATATGTTATGGAGATATACGATGGTACATTTTAAAGTTTGAGTAGCTGTTGCAGGACTTTTTATTAAGATGTGATTTGTAGGTAGGTTATAACTGAGCCTAAATAGTTAGAATAAGGCTAACGGTGATGACTGTAGGTAGTCTTGTCACTGGGCGCACGACCTACGCCGCAAATAATAGTATGCCAGTTTTGTATTTGGAGATGTTAGTATTAATTTGTGACACAAGGGACTGATGACCTGATTTGAATTGTAGAAAATTAATGCTGATAAAAAATAACTTAGAAGGATACCTTGCTGGAAATTTTTATTGCAATTTTGAGTAGTTTATAGAATACGTGCCATAATTTAATCATACAACGGTAAATATGTATGAAATAACTAACATAAATTAAAATGAAAAAAAAATTATACTGCGAGATACCGATGTGTAATATAGCTTTTTTATGTTTATGTATAGCAAATCCATAGTGATCTGTGCATATGAAATTCAAAAAGGAAAACTTAGAATTTTTAAGATTAAAGAACAATCCCTATACATCTACTATAGTAAAGAGAGCAGTCTTAATCTTCTGTGCTACAAAGGATTCCTTTTTCTTTTCCTTTTTTAATATGGTATAGAAATTTGAGCTTCTTTATACAGAAAATAATGATAAGAAAAATCAGTCACTGTGACGAGGAAAATAATGCGTAATTAATGATGTTTTCAAATGCAAGAGTCTATATGGTTAAGAGTTATATTAGTCCACGCTTTTTAATTTGTCCCGCGGCTTACATCTAACTATTATTTAAATATAGGTCCATTGTGGCTTGAGAGGTAGCCTTGGTCCTCCATGCAATGCTGTTGGCTTCATAGATAGGCTAATCCTTGGAGAAAAACACTTGTATCAGAATCCTGTCTATAAAAGGACTAAGGTTTTTAATTTTTTTTGCTAAAAATTCTGTTAAATAATATTAGCCGTTTAGAATGCTAACTCTTTTATCTGTAACCTTTTCTAGCGACTGTTGTCTTTATGCTTGCAGGAATGCAGTATTAACTCTCCTGATTATGGGCCTCTTCCACCAAATTCACCCAAATGGTGCCTTGCCCCATTTGACCCTGAGGGGATTTTGAGGTCAATTGGCTAAAACATATATAACATGAATGCATCTTATATTCAGAAACCTTTCCTTGAAATCTCTATTCATCGAATTAGTTGGTGTATGGAACCAATCTAGGGTTCTGGATATTTACTATAACAATCTCCGAAATTGATAGTTGTTTAGACCAACCATTTTCTATTGTCTTGCTGTTTTTCGATTTGCCTGGTTAATCTAATCTCTTGATTAAATTGTATTGAACCATGATCAGTTCAGTAATGGCTGCCATGACATGCTTTGTTGGATTACAGTTCGGACATGTGATGATGCATTTTAAGGTAAAGCTGCCTTTAAGGAATTCATGTTATGAATTTTTTTTTTTCCATTTCTATGATACTTGAATTATTATTTTAGTACTGTGCTCCATAAACATTTGATTAAAGAAACTTTTAACTGGAGTTCCTGTACTTCCTCATTTGCATTTTCTTGCAGAGCCACATGAGGAGGACCCTTCTTTGGTCCATGAGTTCTTTGGTACTTCTCCTCTTTGCCTGCATAGTGGCTTTATTAGGTATGATCAACCACAATAATATACTTCAATCATGTCTGCAAGATTGGATAAAAATTTTTTTGTAGTTTTTTTTTTTTTTTTTTTGAAAGAAAAAAAAAAAAAGATTGTACTTTGTTTGATATAGTAATTTCACTAATATTTTTCTTGTCTTTTAGGTATGCCTCTTAGTAAGCCGTTGTACACCTTGAGTTACATGTTTCTTACAGGTGGAGCCTCAGGTGTTGCCCTATCTTTTATATATTATCTGGTGAGAATGTTCTGCTATCACTCTCTCGGTAGCATTACTTGTTAATTTTTAGTAACATCACTTTATTTCACAAATGTATTTAATATGCTAACTTTTATTTGTTTTATGATGAATATGTGGCAGTGCTAACAATATAGTCGTTATCATCATCACTATACAATCCTAACTATTTGTTCTTGGCTTTATGAATCATTATTTTCCATAATTCCTTTTAAGTTTTTCTTGCGATTGAAGTCTATTATTTGCAAAGCACTTTAAAAGACTTTATCCATGCTATTTGAAGTCTCCCTTTTGCCTTGTTAATTCTTTCATATTAATTTTATCTAGCCATCTAATTGATGCATTTTCTACTTGTGCATGTTCAGGCTAAATAAATCCATTTTCAATTATGTTATCTTCAATATATATCATTCCGAACACTCATTTGATATACTTTTGTAAATTTTTTGCCTATTTATTCTGCGTTGTTAACATTATCTTTTTTTCTCATGCTCAGCTTAACTATTTAAGAATTTTTTTGTTGTTCAACCCTCATATTGATCATACAATGCAAGAAAATAACCCTATGCAATGCATAGGAGTAATAATCTTATAGATTAGGTTATATCATTTTTAAAAAATCAATTGTCTCATTCATTACATTTGGCCAGCTTTCATATTGCAATTTAAATGATGATTCATAATTTATCATTAAAATGATTAAATTGCTAAATAAAAAAATAATAATCACCTATATTTCTTTCAAATTCATCCAAACAACTCCAAAATTTCAAATATATTGTATTCCTTTTACAATGTATTCCAATTTTTTTTGCATTCCTTTTTCATCGAACCAAATGACCCTTAAATATTTAGAATTGAAATTAGAAGTGGTTTAAACCTTGTATTAATTAGGGGAGAAATTTTCTTATAAGGTTTTTACATTAATTAATAAGAGAATGCAATAACTAGAAGAGTGCATAATATATAGATTAGATTAGAATTGACAGTGTATCTCAAACTCCCCTCTGGCTTCTCCTCTTGATTCAATAGAGGGTATCATTCAAAGCGTCTTTGTTAGCTCCATGGTGAACTCCTTTAGTTATGGCCCTCATTGTATTGGCCTCTAATATTGATTTCAAACCTGCTGTATTTACTAATTGTGGTCCCAACTTGTACTGCAATTCCTCAAATTTCTCAATTCTCTGGAGACCCTCTCTTAGCCGCAAACTTGTGATGGAACCGCTCTAGTGGCTTCCTCTCGAGCACAAATAACTAACAAGTCAAGATGTAGCTTTTTTAATAATCACTATAGGTAATATAATCACTTTATAATTTCTGAGACATACATAACAAGTGATCACTTTAATAGGAGGATTATCATTAAGTTGTCCAATTAAATAATGAATGCGGTGTTTTTCTTAAAGTTGGTTCATCACATGCCTTATCAAAATTTTGAAGAGTATTTTTAGATAAGAGTGTATAACTCTGTCAATCAATGCATGACTATGAAAAAGATAATATTTTTTGCTATGAGCATTTAAATTAAATTAGGAAAATTTTATTGAACTAAGAACAACTTTGATATAGCATTCATTCAAACAATAAGTAGCTTCTTGATTCATTAAAAGCACTTAGGCAACTGGACTTAATGACTGTAGTTTTCCTTATTCAAAATTTCCCTATCTTCATGAATCATTCATGATTATCTTTACAGACAACAACAACCGCCCCGACACAACCTAACCCTTCTCATTTGATTCAATAATCCTTAGTAGGAGGTTAATTCTTCCAACAAACCAGGTATTTGTGTACTCCTGAATCACATGTGGTATTTCATTGGTAGTGATCTATTCCATCTTATCAATTTATTCATGGAATTAAAAGTCTCACCTACACAAAGGATACCTATGTATCCAAAAGGTTCGAAGATGCCTTGATATGGTGTTAAATAACCCATGACTAAAATTAAATTTTTGAGGAAAATCAATTAAAATAGTATTTGAACCCTATTTCATAATAATTAAGGTCTAAAAGATCTTATGTGGATTATTTTAAATGTGTGAAATAGAATTCAATCGAATCTAATTCAAAAGGAGATTAATCTGTGATTGGAGACTTATCGTTCTGATTTGTAAAATCATTTAAAAAACTCTATAAGGTGAAGCATTAGATCCAATGGATGTAAACAATCACTAATTGATAGTCTTAATAGATTACATAAACCCTTATTGGCCACTTTTGCTTATCCATTAGTTTGTGCATGGAGGGAAGATCGTTAATGTGATATTTCAAATGAACATTATATTTAAGATTCAAGGGATAGTGAGGTAGATTTGGTAAAGGGGCACTTGATACCAAATATATAGCATGCATACTGAATTTCACATAGAGGTGCAACTTAATATTTCTTATAATATCAAAAAATTATTTTAATACAGAAGATACAAAAAATGAAAAATTATAATTAGAAGGATAGGCTGCACATCTTCAAAAAATAAAATAACAATGTGGTCAAATTTATTGCTAGCTATGAGCTATCACAAATTCTCAAGGCATCATTAAATAATCTATTGGTTTACATGGTACTTGATTTTCATTTTCGTTCACACTTTTAGTTAGGTGCAGCATATATTTTTTGAAGAGACTGATGATTTTCAGTCTAATGTTAGATCATCTAAATTTTTAATCATAAATTTTAGCTCTACCAAGGGTGATCTAATAGAATGCTAATAAAATTTATAGATAGTATGTCAAATTATATGGTATCAGAAATTATAATAATTGCCTACTTGAATGGGTAAAGACATCATTTAGTGACAAAAGGAAATGCTTTGTTAACCCATACAACATTGAAAGGACGCTACTGTGGCTCAATCTTGAGAATTGCATCTTTTTAAGGCGGCTTTAGATACTATGTTCAAAATACTTACTTTATTATAGTAAGTTTTAATAATATTTACTTATTTTATTTTACAAGGATATTCCTTTGCTTTAATAACCTTCGATACCTTCTCATTTGCCACCCAACCTCTTTAATTTATATGATTTATTCTATTTTTCTTGAACTTCCTTGGTAAACATAATCAATTATTCCCGCATCTAATTTGATTTAACTTTAAGTTTTTTAATTTTCTTTTCTTAACAATCTATATTGGAAGATTATCAACATAGTTATTTTTTAATGGATTTGCATATATTATTTAGATGTGCATTCAGAACAATAATTTTCATATGTGCATTCGAACTTTCTTCTAGAATCATCTTATGGTCATTGTGCTTGAATTTTTATTTCCTGCTACTTTTACTTTTAGAAGGAACTTAATTCTCTCTTCCCTTATTTGTTTCTCATCACAATCAATTTAAGTTGCAGTGTGTCGCTAACATTGGAGTCTCAGGCTTCATTTGGGACGGCTTCTTACTACTTTTTGAAGCTTTCTAGTACAAAAATTTTAATTTTTATACTAAAAAGTCGTTTTAAGAAGCAGTAAGAAAGCCGTCCCAAACAAAGCCTTAGCCAACCCTAATCTACTTCTCATTACAATTGGCTTATGTCATGATGAATTGCTTATGGAGTTAGAATTAAAAATATTAAATCATGAGGTATTACATGCATTGTGTTAGTTTTTTAATTGGTTGTCAACATAGGCTTCGTTTGGGACAGCTTTTGACAACTACTTTTTTTGTTGCTTTCAAAAAAAATTTGTGCCAGAAAACTGCTTTAAAAAGTGGTAAGAAAATTATCCCAAACAAAACCCTAATCTCAATCCTCAATCTTTATATGATCTTGGGGTATTGACAGTACATGCTGCATGCAAGTTTTGATTAAGAGTTCTTATGCCAGAGCTAACTGTCTTCATGCAGGTTGATGTGAAACTTATTAGGAAGCCATCTCTTTTACTTCAGTGGATGGGCATGAATGCACTTATTGTGTATGTTTTGGCGGCAGGCGAACTGTTTCCTGTAGCTCTACAAGGTTTTTATTGGAGATCACCATCAAATAACCTGGTAGGTATCATCTTATATTTTCTATTCTGATCATTGTTCAAACAAAATCATAGTGCTCAAATAGGACCTAGCTTCGTGGACAGCTTTCTTACTGCTTCTTAAAGATGCTTTCTAATTTTTTACTAAAAAGTTGTTTTGAAAAACAATAAGAAAGTTATCCCAAACGAAGCCTTAGAGTAACACTAAGATTACACCTTACATGCTGTTAGTTTGAATCGTGTATTTAAACACAAATTAACAGCTTCAATATTAGTTGATCATTGCTTCAGCATTTTTTTTTTTATAGGGACAATTTCATACATAATATTAAATCTTGATTATTTATAAAACTAATAATCTCGGATCTCAAATTTTGAATTTCTCACTCAAATGTTGCTTTCATCATGGCATATGTAAATACATTAGTTTACTGCTTAAAAAAATGATTCCTCATATATTTAGAGATGAGTCAAGCATAAATTCTATAATTTTAAAATAAATCTAATAGCTTTAAAATCAATACTAATTAAATTTTGATTGATTACTCATATTTGATTTAGAAAGGTCTATCAAATCACTCCAAGATTTTGTTTGGGACAGCTTTTTATTGCTTTCTAAAGCTTTTTAATACAAAAATGTTTAGAACTACAAATCTTTGTACTAGAAAGTTTGTATTAAAAAGTTACTTTAAAAGCAGCAAAAAAGTTGTCTCAACCTAAGCTGAATGTTTTGGTTATGTTTGTTGCATGTCTGATTACACTGGCTTTAAGCTTCAGAAATAGGAGCTTACAATCTATTTTATGGCAGGTGAACTTGACAGAATCCTTTCTTCAGTCTTTATTCCACTCCAAGAAATGGGGTACACTTGCATTTGTTCTTCTCGAGATCCTATTCTGGTGCCTTGTTTCTGGTTTTCTCCATCTCAAAGGAATATATTTCAAATTATAGCAACATAACAGAGCTTACTATCAACATCATATTTTTCTCATATGATTCAAATTTTTTAAGTTTTATTTAGGACAGTTTTTTTTACTGTTTTTTAAAGTAGTTTTTTAGTATAAATATATTTTTATCTTAAATTTTTTATAAAAAAAGTTGTTTTAAAAAATAACAAAAAAATTGTTCCAAACAAAGCCTTAAATTTATAGATATTATATGAGCGTTGTGTCAAATTATCATTACAAGATATTTTTGGTGTAATTTTTTTCTTTGCATTTATGCTCCGTTTGAGTCGAGTATTGATATCGCAGGCATTAGTTGTTCTGATCAAATAATTTCTAGCTGTAGACCCTCTCAAAATGCAAAATGTGTGTTCAATAATTTTATACAAATTCTTTTCATTTTGTATAGTGAATATTAAAATTTTCAAATTTCATTTTTGTAAATGAATTTTTATTTTGTAGGTTTTATTTTAGGCTTCATTTTAGACGGCTTTTTTACTGCTTCTTAAAAGAGCTCTCTAATACAAAAAATTTTATTTTTTACTAGAAAGCTAATTTAAGAAGCAGTAAGAAAGTCGTCCCAAACAAAAGCTTAGACTGAAAAAAAAAATTTTTTAAGGCTTCATTTCATAAAGTTTTAGACCACTATTTTCTCTATTTTAAAGAAAATTTTATATTAAAAATAGTTTTAAAGTCATGTCAAATGAAGCTTTAAGTTGTTATTTAGCTTGAGCCCATATGAGTCATGATTATAATAACTAAGGGTGGGCAGATGAATATGATATCATATATGGAGAAATAAAAGTGATTTAAATTAAGTGGTATTTTATTTTGGATAAATTATATTAAAGTTTAATGATTAATTATGAATTATGTTCTAATTCATTAATTGAAAATGATAGTCCAAATTAGTCTCCACATTTATATTTTGAATATTTAGATAAGTTATTTTGGTACCAATTTTTAATGAGAAATTTTATTTAGCAAGCTACTCTAATAAAAAAGTGATCATGTTCAATCTCAAAAAAATTTAATATTTTTTGACATAAACACAATATTATTCATATAGGTAATTAACTCTTCTCAGATCAGATTCAAGAGCTTTGACATCTATCTTAATCTGAATAAAATATTCTGATATTTGATTTAAATTAAGTGGTATTTATTTTGGATAAATTATATTAAAGTTTAATGATTAATTATGAATTATGTTCTAATTCATTAATTGAAAGTGATAGTCCAAATTAGTCTCCACATTTATATTTTGAATATTTAGATAAGTTATTTTGGTACCAATTTTTAATGAGAAATTTTATTTAGCAAGCTACTCTAATAAAAAAGTGATCATGTTCAATCTCAAATTTTTTTAATATTTTTTGACATAAACACAATATTATTCATATAGGTAATTTAACTCTTCTCAGATCAGGTTCAAGAGCTTTGACATCTATCTTGATCAGAATAGAATATTCTGATATTTTTCTAAAAATAATAATCGTTTATATTAAATTTATTACGTCTAAAATAAAATTAACTAAAATAATAGTTTAAATGAAAAAATTAATCAATGGAATAAAAAATAATAGGGAATTACTTTTTATGTTATTTAAAGAATTAAGTATTATGAATGTAAATATTAAATTAAGTGTTAAATATAAAAATAGAATAGTTTCAGTGGCATGCTTTGGGCTATTTTTCTTACATTGTCCTCCAATCATGTCAAAATTGAGTGAACTAGTTCAGCTGAATTTGCTTAGGTAAGCCATTTTCCCAAACTGAAATAGATGCAAGCTGGTGAGCAAGAGATGGATGAGAGCATCTCCAACCGAATATCAAATATGTGTATAATGTCGTTCGGTTGCTTTAGCCGAACACCAAATCTTCTGCTATTTGCTTGTGGGTGAACAGTGTGTTACACTGTTCACCTACACGATTTTTCTGTCACAACCTGATTTGTCAAAGAAACGCGCGAAAGAAAAGAAAGATAATTACCTTCGTAGAAGCACGTAAAATGGAGTTGGATTGGAGATGAATCACCTCATTTTTTGAGTTTCACTGTTGTTGCGGGCTAGAATATACGCGGAGATAGAGTTATAATTCTACGTCTTAGCATTGCACGGACTTTTCAACAGCGCTTCGGGTCCTTGATTTGGACCAATTTGGGCTCGGCTTGAGTCGAATTTGGTGTCGTTAAGTTCGTATTTCCGAGACGCTCAGTTTGACTTAAGTTTGCTGAAATCGGAGTTAGGATGGTCTCCGAATTAATTTTGGAAGTTTCCAATTTGATTTTGCATCGAGATTCGTGCCCAATCAAGATAATTTCTTGACGACATATCAACTGTATTTTGGAGTGAAAAATGGGATTTTCGGGAGGCGACTCCTCGCTTGAATAAAGACCAATTTCAATCGATTCAATGGAAGAAAAGGAGGAGGAGGACGTCGGATCTACAGACAGAGTGGAAGAAGGGCTTCAAACGGCTACAAGAAGACCTGTCGGAAGCTGGATGGAGGTGAATGGCTTGAAGGGAGGAGGAGGAAGTTGGCCACCACCTCGAGGAAAACCAGGATACATGAGTTCTAGAGGAATTCTCTAGCCATTCTTTCAAACTCCGAAATCTAATATCTTTTCCTAAGGACTCTCTTTATGAGTTTTTTTTTTTAACGGGCAAAAGAGTAAATAGAAAAAAAGGAAAATAAAAAATTAAAGAAATTGATATAATTAAAAAAAAAAGAAAAAAAAAAAGAGGAAGAGGTTTAGGAACTAGTTGGTTGAACAGGCTCTCCTTATTTACACCTGTGTCATTCTCCCCTGCTTAGAGCGGCTTCATCATCTTCAAAAACTACTATTTCAGTATAATGGGGGGTTGAGTCTGAGATGTTGCAGGTAACTATAATCTGATAACCACCAAGTAGTAATTGATAAGCATTGTCGTTGATGTGTTTGATAATGCCGAAAGGCCCATCTGTCTTAGCTTTTAGCGTGTTACAGGGGTCTGATGCAAATATTTCCTTTCGTAGTTTTATCTAGACTAAATCTCCCACGATGAATGTTCTAGGTTTCTTGTTTTTTGTTGGCTTGAGCTTAATATTTGAGATTTTGTTTGTTAATGCGGTCTTGCACCAGAGTTTGAAGTTTACTTATTTTTTGAATTCGTTGTTCAACAACGGGGTGACAATTTGTTAGAGCGATGGAAGGAGTTAAATCAAAATGTGATGTGGGATTTTGACCATACATAACTTCAAAGGGGCTTCGTCTTGCTATTTGATTGCGTGATATGTTGTAAGAAAATTTTACTTGTGGCAATATTAGGTCCAATTTACGTGTATTGTTTCCTATAAAACACCTCAAGACATTGCATAAACCTCTATTGACATCTTCTTTACAAGTTTGTATAAATAAAAGAATGTGTACCACATTCAAGATGACTTTTATTGGCTTTTTTTGTTCTTTGGTGGGAAGCAAGACTATAGATTGCCCTTCCTTTTGGAAGGATTAAGTGTTATGGAAGCCACCATGCCTAGTGTGGTTGTCATACTGCCACAGGTGACTGAGAAGAATGTGTCATGCATCCATTGAAACAACATTGCAAAGAACTTATTCCTAGAATCTGTTTACAATAGAAAATGATAGGAGACATTGCTTACATATAGTGATTTCATTACCTATTTGAAGCCATGTGAGTTGGTATGGTTTTGGATGAGGAGAGGTAGAAAATCCCAATCTTTCCACCATAAGAGTGGAAACCACGTTCTCACAACATCCTCCATCAATGGCCAAGTTACAAACCTTTCCTTGAATGGTACATCATATGTGAAAGATGTTATGTCGTAGCCATTCGTTTTCTTGATCATATTAAATATTCAGGAAGCGTCGTATTACCAACATCTCTCTTTCATTTGGCTCCAATATTTGTTCTTTCAGGGCTTAATGAACTTCTAAATCATTCAAAGCTTTGATTCTTTAGGCGATTCATCCACAATGATCATAATACGACATGTAGGATAGTTTGTTGCAATATGCATGAAATTTTGACACTTAAAATGCTTAAGTGTTGGTAGCCTTGTGGTGACGGAGGTAGGAGGTGGTATTGTGATTATAATAGTAGGATTTTCTATGCTTTTTTATTGTCGGTTTATCACAGGGTTAGGGCCCGGAGATGAGCTTGATCTAGTGCGTCAGTTGTAAGTGTTTTATTTTTATTTTCTACCTTGAGAGATAGGTTGACAACATCTATTAGGGTCTAATAGGGTTATAATTGAATGGTGTTAGCTTCATCTTTTTTTTCTTTTTTTTTTGTTGCAGGGGGGGGGGTGTTAATCCTCTAAGAAATCGGACGATGTATTTTCTTCTAGCCTCTATTAATTGACATTTGAAACTCAAGTATTTAAACTCAATGATGTAACATTCGATGAAGTGATATTGTTATTGAAGATTTTGAAGCCTTATGATCTTGTCTTGTTGATAATGTTTGGGTAGGAATTTCTATTGCATTTTTTTCCGCATCTTCTCCTAAGAACTAATTTTGGGTTTTCCCTCTCGTTGCCTTGCACACTTTAAATTTCCTACCAAAAAGAATCATTACCTTCTATTTTTATAGTGTATAATTTAAAAATGTGCATTGATACCTTTTTATACTCAAGAATTCACTCCAAGGTATGTAGCCAACTGAGAAACTCATCAGGATCCAATCTCCCTTTAAATTTCGGAAGATCAATCTTGATGCCAAAATTGTGCAGAGAACTTCTTAGTTCATGTCGATGGTAGCGAAGAGGTGGTTCTTCTTCTCCGCTAAAAACTTCATGGTGAAAAAGGTTTTATTTGTCCTCTTAATGGTTTCCTTCACTTATGTGTTTAGTTGGATGACGAAGTTCCATCGTCACTATGCTCTTGCAATTGACAGATTTCTCTTTGTAACTCTTAAATTGATGCTTCATGCATGATTTTTGTGCGCGCACACGCACATACACACACATAAATTGCTTACTTAGTAGATACCTCGAGGAAAATTAGGATACAGGAGCACTAAAGGAACTCTCTAGCCATTCTTCTAGGGGAGATTTACATACATACCCCTCTATACTAAAGAGACTCCAAAATCCGAATTCTCTTATTAAGGACTCCTCTATTTATAATTAAAACAAAAAAACAAAAGAGTTAACAAAAAAATAAAGGAAAATAAAAAATTAAAGTAATAATAATAATAATAATAATAATAATAATAATAATAATAATAATAAGGAAAATATGAGGTAGGGGTGTCAAAATTAGACCCGACTCGAAACCTGACTCAGACCCGACCCGAAAAATTCTATGTTCGGGTCAACCCGTTTGCTATACGGGTTGGATTCGGGTTTGAATTTTTGACCCATTTTTAAAACCGTATCAGGTTCAGATTGATCCGAAAATCCGAAATCAATTTGATTTACCCGAGAGCCAGTGACCATGTCTTGTCGCGTCAAGCAAGCAGTCCATGCCAGTGTCGTCTTTCTCATCACATCAAGCCTCATGCGACCAGTCGTCGCTTCGCTCCAGACTGGAATTGAAGGTCCCATACTCCCATTGAAGCTCCGACCGTCCCATGCCTCATCTGAGGGAACTTTTATTTGGTCCGGTCACAGGAAGTAGCTCTTCATTCGGCCGCCAATAGAATTGTCCCACGCGTTCTCACTATTTACCGCGCGCCCCGACAACCCGACCAGAAATAGACCCAGGATGGCTCGGTATTTCTCGATTTTGCGAGGTATTGCTCGGTATTACTCGGTATTGCTAGGTATTGGTCGATTTTGCTTGGCAATAACCAATACTGAGCAAATACCAAGTAATACCGAGTTGTATCGAGTTTTTTCTAGAAAAACTCGGTATTTGCTCGGTATTGGTTTTCACAGAGCGGCATTTCTCGTTATTGCCATGCAATACCTAGCAATACCGAGCAAATACCAAGTAATACCTTGCAATACACGAACATAGCATTCTCGGGTCTGATTCAGGTCAAGTCGTCGGGCCGCGTGGTAGAGAGTAAGAGCACGTGGCGACATATTATTGGCGGCCGAACGTAGCTCTACGTCCGGTCAGAGGACGTAATAATTGTTCCATCCGAGGGCTAGTTCTGGGAGCCCTCCTTTTTTTGGTTCTTCTGTTCTTTAATTTTGCCTGTCTTTTTGTTCTCTGCAAGTTTTTGGCTCCTGGTTGTGTGAGCTTTCCTTCTTCACGGGCTGGTTTTTGTTGTCTTTTTATTACCAATATAATTTCTTTTTTATCTCATTTAATATACGGGCTATGCTCAAAAATTTTTTTTTTAAAAAAAATCATCCTTTTGAGCAGTCACGGGTCCCACCACTGACCACTTCATCATTATAAATTCAAATATTTATTTCACTGGTTACATATTTCCCATTATGTGCTACATATTAAATGATTAGAGTTGAGGCATAGGCGTACAACTTTCAATACTTAAGTTGACAATTACTTGATTAAGCATTAATAAACATTAATTAACTAAAGTCATTAGCCTCACACTACTGTTTTCCTGCAAGCAACGATTTTTTAATATTGTATTATTATACTTCCCTTATAAATTCACATTAAAATAAACTCAGATCTTTTGATTTTGTGACAGTGATGTGCGTAACCAGTGACTCGTTTCGTGCGTGAGGTGCAGGTCGGGTCAGGTCAAATCGGTAACCCGCACGGGTCGGGTCGGGTCTAGATTGAAAATCCTAATACATTTGCAAAATCGGGTCGGGTTTGGATTAACCCGTTTTGATTCGGGTCAACTTGGGTTCAACCCGAACCCAACCCGTCAACCCATTTTGACAACCCTAATAGAAGGGTTGCAAACTGGTTGGTTGAACCGCTTCCCCCTATTGACGCCAGCGTCATTCGGGCAATCTAGTTCAGTGGAGTTGGAGACGGATAAAAAATATAGGGCAAGTGAAATTTCTATTTGGGTAGAAAATAAAGGACTTGTGATTTTAGTTTGTTTGAATTGATTTGTGTGATTGTGCTCGGTAGTGGGGGAAAAGATAGATGGAATTGTGGGATTTCATTTGATGAAGGAATAATAATGGGATGTAATCAAGAAAATTTATTTAAATTTCAATTTGCCCTTTTATGATAACAGTGAATTTAAAATGTGATTAGAAATGAGCTTTAACAATTTATTTGCGCTCCATGTTATCTTTGACAATGTTTGATGAGCTTGAGATTATTTTTTATGTGTTCAACCTTATCATTGACAACAACAGCAACATCAAGACTTTGGGACACATCAAGCCTTTGTCGCACTGAGTGGAGTCGGCTACATGAATCCTTTTTCGGCATTTTATCCTGTTAAAAGTCAAATTCTCATTTAAATCTAATAGAAAAAGTTCATTTCTAATATTTTCTAACCAAGTCTTTTTTGGTCTACCTCTACCTTTCTTAATATAAGTCAAATCTAATACCTCAACTTTTCTAACCGGGTCATCGGAAGGCCCCGTTTAATGTGACCAAACCATCTAAGGTGACTCTATCTAATCTTATCTTCCACTGTAGCTACTCCAACCTTTCACGTATATGCTCAATTTGTATCCTATCTCTAAGGGTAAATTCACTCATCCACCTAAGCATCCTCATCTCTGCAACACTTAACTTAATATTATGCTTCTCTTTTAATGGTCAACATGTGACACCATAAAGCATTACAGGTCTCACTACAGTCTTATAAAATTTTCCCTTAAATTTGAGCGAGACTTTTCTATAGCATAACAAGCCCAATGCATTCCTCCACTTCAACCTTCTCTTTGACAATGTTCAATATTTTTGAGGTTTTATTTTTATTTTTATTTTTGTTCAATATTTTTGAGGTTGCATGCTCAATAGCTCATTGTTGTTTTGATTTTGTTTGACAGTTTTACTATTATTTTGGACAGTGAAAAAGTTGAGCAATGTAGTCGAGGCAAACACATTGAAGACAATTAATGGCGTTCTTTAGAATTAATATATGAATTAAATTTATTATTATTAATTTAATTAGCAAATTTAAAGTAAATATTTCTAAACTAAGTAAATTGGCTCACACTTCATTTGTGACGACTTTCTTACTACTTCTTAAAGTATGTTTCTAGTACAAAAAATAAAATTTTTATAATAGAAAGTTACTTTAAAAAACAATAAGAAAGCCGTCCAAAACGAACCCTTAATCATTTATATATTATTTAAGTTCTAAATTAAGGAATGGCCGAGTTCATTCCTTATGATAGTGGATGGGAAGTATTGTATATGTGCGTAAAATATGAAAAATATTGAAAATAAAAAAAGAAATAAAAATGTTGAATATTAACTTGTGTAATAGTATGCAATGCTCCCCGAATAAATGACTTATTAAAAGTTATAATCTAATAAATATAATATCAAAGAATATTTTAATATAAAATGATGTTTTATTTTATCAACAGCATGCATAATTTCTAACAAATGAATGTTTTAATGATTAAATAGAATAATTCATGTGCATGTTATCTTTGCTTATTGCTTGTTTATAACTATAATTAATTACTGAATTGATGATGAAAATTTAGCCCATTAATTAATAGTTCAAGTAAAACTTCTATTAAGTAAATGACTAACATATAAGATTATGTGTAAAGATGAAAATATTGAATGAAAATAGATATAAATTAATTTGAATATGGTCATAATTATGATTAATAATTTGTCCCTATTTTAAAAAATTTGGATGTTTTTTATTTAATCTTCCTAATTATTATTGAAAAAACTAAAAGACTGTAAATGTTATTCCAATTTAGATTTGATTTGGGACAATATTTTTACTATTTTTTAAAATAATTTTTTGATATTAAATGAAAAAAATTGTACAAAAAATATGCTTTGAAAAGCATTTTTAATAAAAAAAATTTGTGCTAAAGATTATTTTATAAAGTAATAAAAAAAATTTTTCAAAAAAAATCTTAGTATTTTAATGGCCTTGTGTAGTTGTGCTGTGCCACAGGCCCACATGCATGAATGACCGTACATTTCGAATGGGCTACCCGATAACCGGTTTACCGGGTTGGACCGTTGTTGGGCCCGTAATCACATAAATGGAAGGAGTTCTTGCAAAATTTCCCGCGCAAGCACACTAGGGCAAAATCGGCGAAACCAGCGATCGAGAGAGCGAGAGAGAGAGAGAGAGAGAGAGAGAGAGAGAGAGAGAATGGAGGTAGAAATGGCGCGACTTCTAAGCTTGGCGATTGATTTTGGATTCAACGAGGACGAAGCCAAGAAGTGCCTAGATAGGCTCGTTGATCTGTATGGTATGGAATTCACTCGAATCCCTCTTTAGCTCTCCCATCTTGTTTGCAATCGATCAAAATCCTATATTTTTCATGGCTGTCATTTGTGCTTTAAGGTTGATTTTACCATTTCGATGATTCTGCCTAATTTATGGATGTTTATAGCAGAGGTAGTTGGATTATTAGTAAAATGGCTTAATCTAGAAATGGAAGTGAAAGGCAGGTTTTTTACTTGTCTGCGGTGCTTGAATTTTATTTTATATTATTTTTTCTACAGTTTTACGTAGAGTGCTGGATTTACCAAATTTGTTGTCTTTAGGGGCAGTTTGGTAGCGAATTTATCTCGGATTTGTGGAGGATTTTGGTGTAAATCCTACCAAATGGTGTTGACGTCGAAGTTGAATCCTACAGTGGGTTCAATCCCATTCCTCTTCCATGTAGCCTTAAATACTGGATTTACTAAATCTTGGAGTTTGAAGGATTTACAGGATTTAGAAAAGAAGCACGCTAAAGGGAGAAAGATGAGAGTAACATGGCGATCAACAGAATTTTTCGTTGAGGGTTTTAGGTAGACAAATGGAGAGCTCCTTTTGCCACCTTTTAGCCTTCGAGGGTTTCGATTATGCACGAACAATAGGGAGGGGAAAGATAATAAAAATTTCGGCCAATTTTTTTAAAAGATATTACATTGAGCAATTAATATTATTTATGATTTGATTTAATTAATTAATTTTTTTCTTTATTTAACTAATTTTTATAAATTCTTCATTAGTGATTGATGTAAATATTATGTTATGCTAATTATAATTTAAGTAGTGTAATTTGACTTACTAGAAATGATTGTTTAATTGGTTTATTAAATTAATAATTTTTTTATTTAATTTGGCTAAATACAAACAATTGCTTGATTAACTTAATAAATTATTATTTAATGATTAGTTCGGTTGTTATCCTAATTGTAATGTTATTTATGCTAATTATGATTGCGGGTTATATATAATTATTATTAAAAGTCTATTTGAGCTAACCGACTTAAATCTCGAAATAAATAGTTGGATAGTTCATCAAAATTTAACTAGATTTAAAATTCTATTTTAGTGCAAGAAGGAAAAGTTAAGGCACATTGTTTATTTCCTTCAATTTATTGCAGGAGAGGATGGTAAAGAATTTGTCACTGTAGAGCATTGTGGTGATGACTTTCTTGCTGCATTGGCCGACTCTGTGCAAGAGAATGAGGATTGGGATGATCTACAAGCTATTGAATCTGAAGCTTGTGGAGTTTTGAATAGCATTTTTGAAGAAGAATGTGCTAATAATGCTGAAGAAGCTATAGATGGGGATGTATCTCAGCGTTTCAAGAAAGAAAATCCCAATATGCATTGGAGACCTGATAATTTAAATTGTTCAAGTTCATTCATTAATGATGAAGATTCAGACTTGGAAGTATTGAACCAGAAGGATATTATTGGCCGGCATTCTACCTTTGATCTGAAAAAGGGTCAAGCTCATCTTCAGTGTCCATTAAAAGAGTCACTAAACTCTAAGATTGTAAGTCTTGCTACTTTCATTATTTTCACCCTATTCATAAATTGCTTCCAATTTGTGAGTTTTAATATTGTTTCGTTGGTAACTTTTTCTTTCTGAAGTTCTTTAAAAAAAAAAAGAATTGTTGAGATTTAGCATCCTTTTACAGCATCTCATTGGTTGAGCATCTATTCAAAGAATTTTCAAAATCTTTTAAATATCAGACTTTTCATATTTGATATTTCCTTCCTACAACAACAACAACAACATCAAGCCTTTGTCCCACTACATGGGATTGGCTACATGAATCCTTTTTCTTCATTGTGTCCTGTTAAAAGTCAAATTCTCATATAAATCTAATAAAGAAAGTTCATTTCTAGTATTTTCTCACCAAGTCTTTCTAGGTCTACCTCTACCTTTCTTACATAAGTCAAATCTAATATGTCTACTTTCCTAACCGGGTCGTCGGAAGGCCTCCGTTTTATGTGACCAAACCATCTAAGGCGACTCTCTCTAATCTTATCTTCCACTTGCGCTACTCCAACCTTTTCACGTATATGCTCATTTGATATTTCCTTCATATATAGAAATATTTCTTTTTTTTCCTTTTTATCACTTGTTGATGGGCATACCAAGCTCTTCCTTTTTTATGCCTTAAAAGGCAGCCTAAAAATGCACAGTTGTCTTACAAAGCCCCCCGAGATAATTCAAAGAAGGGGTCCCCACCAATGCTGTGGATGGATTTTTGTATACATTGGTGAATTTGAATTCAAATCATAATGCTGATTAGGATGCTCAATCAGGTGAGTTAAATATTCTAATGGAGGTTTCAGACTAAAATTTATGCTAAAACTGTAATTCATATGGGTATGATAACTCGTCACTGGACTCTCTAATATGTATGTAAAATTAGATAAACTAGAGATATGGGATCACATCAGGTATGTGTATCTCAAGGGGCAATGATATGCTAGACACCTCTAGGAGAGAAATCTTATCAATTAGTCACTAAGCCTTATTAAGAATGACATTAGGCAATTGATCAATAAGTTTGAATGGATTATCTTAGGCCATAATGGTCATGTGCATCTTTGGTGTAATAGGAGGCTCACTAAGGAAGACTTTAGGAAACCCACTCCAATGTTCTGAAAGCATAATATATACATGACTCTAAATGTGAAGAGATGCAATAAAAGGCTCAATATAAATATTGAAGTTATATGGAGGCCTAGGGTCATAAAGATAGGTATATAAAGTAGATGGGTTAGTAGTTGAACCAACATATTTAATTGGAGGATTTTATTTTCTATGTATTTGAGTGAGGTTTTAGGTCATCCACAAAATTTTATGGTGGTGTTTAACCCTATTTTTGATTTAACAATACATATTTTAACAAATTTACAAAATTTTGAAATTTTTATCTATGTGATTGAATTTATCATTAGTCTTATGATTTTTATCACCTGCAATGCTTTATGGTGTCAAATGTTGGCCATTAAAAGAAGCATAACACTAAGTTAAGTGTTGCAGAGATGAGGATGCTTAGGTGGATGGTGGCTTTACCCTTAGAGATAGGTTACGAAATGAGCATTTACGTGAAAAAGGTTGGAGTAGCTCTAGCGGAAGATAAGATTAGAGAGAGTCGCCTTAGATGTTTTGGTCACATTAAAAGGAGGCCTTCCGATGACCCGGTTAGAAAAGTTGAGGTATTAGATTTGACTTAAGTTAAGAAAGGTAGAGGTAGACCTAAAAAGACTTGGTTAGAAAATTTTGAAATGATCTTTCTTTATTAGATTTAAATGAGAATTTGACTTTTAACATGACACATTGGCAAAAAGGATTCATGTAGCAAACCCCACGTAGTGGGACAAAGGCTTGATGTTGTTGTTGTTGTTGTCTTATGATTTCTATTATTAATTTAAAATATAATTCTATTTGATATCTTTTCAGTAAAAATAAAAGGATATTTCCTAATAGGTAAAGAGCCTATCCTATGGTTATGGGTCTTAGATTGTTTGCAAATTTAATCTCTTTCATCCTATCCATATAAGAATTTCATCCAAAGTATTTGTCCTTTTTCACATAAGTCATTCTAATGTGTTTTTGCTTTCTTATTAACTTCAATTTTGCAAAACTAGTTCTTTGATAATCATTATGTTATGCCATCAAAGAAATTATTCTATTATTCAACTTAGTCGGAAAATTTGTTAATATTGTTGATGGGGGCTATGGAGTGAACTTTTGAATTGTATGAAAATCTAGGGCTCTATCACCCCTAAATAATGTTTAGATTTTCTTTGATATAAATAATAACAAACTCCACTTAATATATACAAGTATACATGCCAAATTAAATAATAAAATGATAGAGTAGAGTGTTGAATCCACAACAAGTATGCTTTACCTGTAACAAATTACTATTGTTTACTCTAATTACAATAATTATCTTACTGAAATAAAAATGATATTTTTGGAGAATCTATCATTGAATAAAATGGTAAAAATATTTTTTATAATATTTAATTAAAGTATTTTAGATTTATGACTATAAATTGTATATCTTTTCTAATGAGACTCGTTACAGTAATGTGATTTAGAGCATGTGCATTCTTAGATCTCTGTCGAGCTTGTATAGGTGAAAATGATATATGCTGTCCTCTTACAGTTATAATATCTCCTTAAGTACCTAGAATTTTTTACATCCTATATCTAGGCATGCAAAATATCTTATCCCAATACTCCTGGTTGTTCTTGCATTTAACTACATATATGACCACTATGTGCATTAAATAAAGGACGGGAAAATATTGAAAACATCTTTTAGCAGTTTATAGAACAACAATATTCATTAGTACTCAACATTCATTTTATATTATTAATAAAAAAAGAGAATTAGCTAGACATGGAATGAATATCAAACAAACTCATTTTCATTAAACTCATGGAAGAATGAAAAATACAAGAGAGTGATATCACCAGGAAGGATCAAAGTGTCTCCTCTACACTCCTTTTAACCTATAGAGTTGCTTCAAGAAATACATGCTAAATACTTCAAATAATTGTATCTTATACTCTCTAACTTTCCTTATATTTTACTCTAAGAGGGAACTAGAGAAGTACTTTAAAAGCTCTGAAATTACACAAGTGTCTGAACTCCCTTACAAACATAACACATCTATTTATAGAAAAACATAAAAATGATAACTAGCACTGTAACACTTAAAATAATGGCTATACTTAAAATATGGAGTGAACTTTTGAATTGTATAAAAATCTAGTGTTTTATCACCATAAATAATGCTTAGGTTTTATTTTATATAAATAATAACAAACCCCACTTAATATACGCAAGTATACGTACCGAATCAAGTAATAAAATGATAGAGTAGAGTGTCGAATCCATGAGGAAGTATGCTTTACTTGCAACAGACTACTATTGTTTACTCTAATTATAATAATTATCCTATTGAAATAAAAATAATATTTTTATTGATTCTATCACCGAATCAAATTGTAAAAATATTTGATATAATATTTAATTAAAGTATTTTAAATTGATGACTATAAATTGCATATTTTTTCTTAATGAGACTTTATGATAATGTGATTCAGAACATATGCATTCCTAGATCTCTGTGAAACTTGTAAGGGTGAAAATGATATTTGCTGACCTTTTACAGTTATACTATCTCCTTAAGAACATAGAATATTTTACATATTATGACTAGTTATGCAGAAATTCTATCCCAATACTCCTGGTTGTTCTTGCATTCTTCCGTCGAGGCTATACGTACATCACACTAAGTTTTAACTACACATAGCTATTATGTGCATTAAATAAAGAATGTGATAATATTGAAAGCATCTTTTAATAGTTTATAGAGCAAAAGTATTCATTAGTACTCAACATCCATTTTATATCATCATTCCAAAACAAGAGAATTATTTAGATATGGAATGAATATCAAGCAAACTCATTTTCATTAAAATCATAGAAAAATGAAAAATACAAGAGAATGATATCACCAAGAGGTATCAAAGTATCTCCTCTACATTCCTTTAACTTACAAAGTTATCGATTTTTTCTTTTGAAAATGGCAGACAGATCATCATCTAAAATCAGATAAAACATAAAAGAGTCTGAGCGGAGAAGAAGGGGGAAAGGTATTACTGAACCAGCTCTTCTAAGTTGTAACGCTCCTCCTGCTTGTGCCTCAACACTTTATAATTATTGAGAGAACATCTAAATTTTTATTTGCATATAAGATTTGTTATCTTATAAAAATACACGACAGAGTGATAGAAATAAAAATATTATATCATATAATTTCAAAAAATATATAACTTCTTTTATAAATACATTAGTTATAATGACAAAAAAAATATTACAAATGCACTGTTTTTATTTTACTTTGGATATATCTAACCAAACAAAGGAAACAGTTCTCCTACGCTTACTTTGCAGACAACCAAACAGCCTCAAAATATTTAGAATGCACTACATTTACTTTACGCTGCATTTACTTTACATTGCGTTTACTTTGCAGGCAACCAAACAGCCCCTTAAGAGGAAATTAAAGTATTCTAAAAACTACTGAAGTTATACAAGTGATTAAACTCCTTTACAAACATAACCCAACATCTATTTGTAGCAAAACATAAAAATGGCAACTAGCGCTGCAGCACTTGAAATAACTACACTACGGTGCCCCTGAAGTGAATTAGTTCCTCAGTGCTTGCTAACGTGAATTGATTACTTAATGAACAATCGCGCCTAATCGCCCATTCACTGATAGAATATGTCCCTTGGAAGTTACAATTGCAATGCCGCAACGTTGTGGACACTGGAGCACTGCGATGTCCACAATGCAAAAATGGCGCCAATGCGTGAGAAATTGTGGTCCCTGACATTTAAGAACAAAGAATTCGGCGTTGCCAAGACAGCTTTCTGATGCCGTGACGTTGATAATGTCGCAGCGTTGTCCTTGTTGTCGTTACAATGCTTGCAAACAGAGAACTCGGTG